CAAAGCATTTATTTAATCAAGCTCTAAATACAGCTCGTTCTAGATCTTTTGAACTTAGTGACGTCACGGTACGAAGTGACGTACCAGTCGTTTGCATATGACCGCCTCCAGCGCAAGACAACTACGCCTCATTTCGCTCGATGGTGTTAAAAACACCAAACACCGCTCAGCTCACATCATCGCATGCGTTGACGTGCAGAGAGTGGGTCTGTTTACAAGATGGCGGCAATGCCACACAGATGTGCTGTTCCTGGCTGTGGACAAACAACATGTTTGAATGCTGCCGAACGATCCGGACGTCAGGGAAAGCAGTTGGATGCAGTTTATTTGCAGTATATGCAGCCCGCCAAAGCCTTATTTGTTCGGTGAGTGATGTAGATGAGTGTGACAGAGCGCATGTTACTGAAAAATCGAGCAGAGAGAGAGAGAGAGCCCCGGCCGCGCGCGCGCCTTCAAACTGTCTTGCTCTCCCTCGCGCATATGAATCAAAATCAATTGAGAATTGACACGATGGTAAAAGATCAGAAGACCGAAGTTTCACGTGGCGGAGCATTGTGTACATGTGATACAAAATGATTAACGTTAATAATTTATGCATAAGCAGCATAACGTTAGCCAATCATAACAATGGGCGTTAACACTGAACTCTTAAAGGGGAAACACCTCCAAAACAGACTGTTTGAATCAGAGGGGGAGAAACAGGGTGGGAAAAGGTCAAAAATCACTACATTTAAAAAAAAAAATTGTACAAAAACTATATTAATACTATAATTGCACCTAAGGGAACATAATAAAACAAAGCAAAAAACCATGTCATGATCCCTTTAAATATTGTCTTTTATATTTTGTCTGTAACAGTGCGCATCTGTGCGTTCGTTCATTCACACACCCAGACACCCGATTCATATTTAAACCGTCTTTTTGGTTTTACAGATACTAATCTATATCGCGATTAGAACAAATCTCAGTAGGCTAGCAATATAGTTTGGATGTGTTCATGTAAAATAACGTAGGAGCGAGAGTGAATGAACAGCACAGATGCGATGTACATCTGTAGTAAACAACATCGCGCGCGCGTCTGTACCATGCATTCATTCACACACACCGACACGCAATTCATATTTAAACAGTCTTTGTGCAGTTTACAGACACTATTCAATAACTCGATTAGAACAAAGCACTTAAGAATAAATGACTTACTACATCAGCTGAATCCGTGCTCCTCGAAATTAAACTACCAGCACTTCTGAGGTAACTTTCCCAGGAATATTAAGATAGTATTCCTCACAGCGCAGCAAGACGAGGTAAAGTACAAGATTATTATTAAACTGGATGTTTTATCCAGCTGATGTAGGCGTTTTCATGGCTTGCCTCAACATTTGCGTTTGAATAGCGCGCGCTCTCAGTGGGCGTGGTCACATTAACACGTCATACGCTATAATTAGGTGAAAGGAAAAAGACTGACATCTCTCTATTTTCATACAGATTACATAAACTGAGAAGAGTTGTGTTTTATATAAATTACTTCATTTAAAAGAAGAGAATTTCAGCTTCATAAAGAGAAGTCTCTCGTGTCTCTGTGACAAGTATTTACTGAGTTACAGTTCATTTTTCGGACGCGTTTCAGAAGGGACTTCACTGACAGAGAGAAGGTAAAACGTGCATCATGTTTATTTTTCTTTATTTGACAAAAAGCACAACACTTTGTTTTTATTGTGAGTATACACACAAAAAATAGACACTTAACAGGATCGAATGATGTATAATACTTCAAAATTGGCAGAGTATTTTGAGTCTCTTTTGCACTTATAAGAAAAAAAGTGAGCTGGTATCGCCGGCGATACCGCCAACCCCAGAGGGTTAAGCAGCAAACACAGTGCCCTGTAACGGCGCACCGGCAGGGAAAGATTGGTTTGACTGCTCTGCGAGTGCCCCTCGGGAAAATGCTCACTGGGACCGTCTACGCCCCGACATAAAGGCAGGGTTGGCAGAACGGGTCCCTGAGGGCACCGAGAGAGAATGGGCACCGTGTAAATGGGCACCGCCAGAGGCGTCAGGACTTCTTCTTAGACGAAGCCTTTTTGGCAATAAGGACTGTCCTGAGATCAGCCTTACCCCTCGAAGACTTCGTCTGCGAGCGCCGCGCCGCGTCCCATTCTTTTTGTGGGGGAGCGCGAGACGCGGCACTCTGTTTCTGCTGCGCCCGGTGTGAGGAGCTTGTCGACGGCCGGGACTGCTCCCGCCCAGCAGCCCCAGGGACATGAACGCAGAGTGGGAGGTACTTCTGAAACGCCGCCGCCTGCTTTTTTTCTTCTTGAAACCTTTCGATGACCGAATTTACAGAGTCACCGAACAGGCCAGCAGGAGAAATCGGGGCGTCCAGAAGGAAGGTTTTCTCTTTTTCCTTCATACCAGAAAGATTAAGCCATAAATGTCTCTCCGTGGCCACCAGGGCTGCCATAGACCGGCCCACTGACGTGGCCGTCTCCTTGGTGGCCCGAAGAGACAAATCTGGAGCCTGACGCAGTTCGCGAATTGCGTCAGAGCTAACCTCCTCACTCTCACTAATGTCCTTTAACAAATCGGCCTGGTATGCATGCAGGATAGACCTTCAGGAAGAAACCGCAGTGCGTGCTTCCAAACCCTGAACTGAGGCTGTGGATCTGGCAGGTGAAGGCTTAGAAAGGGTGGGGCCCGTCTCAAACCCCGCTACTAGATCCATTTGCGATCCCCACAACTGAAGCCGCCGCTCTGCCTCGACAGAAGCGGGGCCCGAGCCGCGGGGAGCGCGAACCGAACCACTCTCCTCGAAGAGTGATCGGCGGGAGCGGAGCGTTCTTAGAGGCAAATGCTCGCAATCAGCCCCCTCGAGAGCTGACTGGGCATGCTGCACTCCCAAACAAGCAACACATAGAAGATGTGTATCCCCACTCGTGATGTAACGAGAGCAGGGAGGAACACACTTTCTATGTAATTGTTCGCTCGCCATATATATATATATATAGTTTTTTTAAATGTGAAAACCTAGTGAAACTAAGGACAGACAAAAACACTTGGACATATATTGATTCACACACAGAGCGCTTGCTGAAGGCACAGAAGCTGATGCGTTTGTGATTCTGGGGTGCTTTATAGTTTCCTGGTCGATGACGTCACCCGCCTATGAGGTTCCGTCTCGCCTCTGGAGTGATTCCATACGTGCTTCAGGACGCACTCACGCAGGGGCGTTCCTCCAGCGTTTGACGCAGCTCGAGTTCCCTTGAAAGGGAAATGGTTTGTATTGACGTCTTTGCGAAGGGTCAGTTGTGCAGTAAAAATTTAAAATAGTAAAAATTACATAGCACCACCTAGTGTCCAACCAGCACTAACATCGGTAGCTAGGAGAGCTTTACTATCCAGTTTGAAAATTATATCAGGGCAATTCTACTTAAGACTAGACTGAAAATTGGGTTATCGTGTATTTATGTTTACAAGGTGAAAAAGATTAACATGAGCGGCTGTTGCTTTTTGCAGCCTGTCAAATTAACCAAAAATATAATTTCAGAAGGTAAACTCTTTCAGAAGGTAAACTCTTTTGTCATGACTCACTCCAAGTCTCTCACTCATGCCTACTTGTGCATGTTATCTTGTGGCACATGAACATTGATGTTGATAAAAATTTTTACAAACTGTGCTTGTAATTTATTTATTTTTATAGAAGCACAAGTGCTTTTTAAAAAATTTAAGTATACACCCATGTTACAATTTTATTTTTGCCTATATTCAAATAACTGTGGCTGTATACATTAAGATAAAAAGCAAAGGACACACAATGACAATTTATTTATAGTGAATTATAAAAGTGGATGGAAAAAAAATTAAGTGGCAGGTAAAACAAGAAAGAAGTGAAGACAAAGAAATACATTTTGTTTTCTTATCATGACATTTTTTTCTCTTTATTCATTAGGCCTGGCTCTGTAGAGGTGTTAAGTCAGGTAATTTTTGAAAACAAGACATGTCCCGATGAAGAAGACATAGAGAAGACATTTGAAGAAGGTCTTGATGAATCCATTATATTCTTAAATGTCATCAGATCCAGCATTGTTGCTTGTGAGTATAATATTCTGTTCTTATAGCTTAGTAAGCAAGTGTACGTAAGTGTATACAAAAGTGATACTATGTCAAATTACTAAATATAAAACCTTTTAAATGTTCAGATGTAAAAAAAGAAAAGAAACAAAAACATTAAAAGGGGTCCTTCTTTTGAACAAAATTCTGAAGTTCACTTGTGTTAAAGTTTTTTGCAAATAAATAAATTACATAAAAACTTTTTTTACATAACATGAATATTTTTTTTATATTATTACCTTTTGTCAGATATACACAATTATTGTTCTACGTCTTCTTTACGACATCCAGTTATACAAAGGGGTTTTCTGCTGAAACAAGGTGGTTGCTAAGCCACCTCAAATAACCCAATGGGGAATGAGGAAAAATATTATCTCTAGAACACAAACTTTAGAATTTTTGGACCACTTGAGAAAGATTTGAGATAAACTAGCAATGACTTGTCATAGGTCAAAAGATGGAAGAAAAATTAAGTAATCATGATCAAGTCATAGCCATTTTAAAAGAAACAAAACTTTTAAATAAAAAAAATATTAACTATTTACTAAATATAATCTATTTCTGGGCATGTCCAAATAATAGATACAGTACTTGGATATACCACAACTGAACAGCCAACAACACCACCTCAACATGCAACATCTGAAATTCCAATGACAACAACTAAAAAAAGCACTTCACTTTTGCCAACAACCTCATCTACAGTTCGAACAACATCTGTTTTGCCCTCAACTTCTACAAGCAGAAGCCATGATGCTGAGACAACATCTGAAATGCCAATTTCAACAACTGAAAGCACTACACTTTTTCCAACAACCTCATCTATGGTTAAAACAACATCTGTTTTGCCAACTTCTACTAGCACAATCCATTATGGTGCAACAATAACTGACATGCCAATTACAACTGAACAAACAAGTACACTTTTGCCAACAACAACATCTAAGGTTCAAACAACTTCTGTTTTGCCATCAACTTCTACAAGCACAATCCATGATGCTTTGACAACATCTGAATTGCCAATAGAAACAACTCAAATACGCACTACGCTTTTGCCAACGACCTCATCTACGGTTCAAACAACATCTGTTTTGCATACTTCTACAAGCACAAGCCATGATGCTGTGACAACATCTGAGATGCCAATTACAACAACTGAACAAAGCACTACACTTTTTCCAAAAACCTCATCTATGCTTCAAACAACATCTGTTTTGCCAACTTCTACTAGCACAAGCCATGATGGTGCAACAATAACTGAAATGCCAATAACAACTAAACAAACAAGTACACTTTTGCCACCAACAACAACCACAACAACGACTCAATCAACGACCGTTCTGGCATCAACCTCTACAAATACAATTCCTATTACAATCACAACATCTGAAATGCCAATTATAACAACTGAACAAAGCACTACACTTTTGCCAACAACCTCATCTATGCTTCAAACAACATCTATTTTGCTATCAACTTCTACAAGCTCAAGCCATGATGCTGCAACAACATCTGAAATGCCAATTACAACAACTGAACAAAGCACTACACTTTTACCAAAAACCTCATCTATGCTTCAAACAACTTCTGGTTTGCAATCAACTTCTACAAGCACAATCCATGATGCTTTGACAACATCTGAATTGCCAATAGCAACAACTCATAAAATCTCTACGCTTTTGGCAACAACCTCATCTATGCTTCAAACAATATCTGTTTTGCCAACTTCTAGTAGCACAAGCCATGATGGTGCAACAATAACTGAAATGCCAATTACAACTGAACAAAGCACTACACTTTTACCAACAACCTCATCTATGCTTCAAACAACATCTGATTTGCCATCAACTTCTACAAGCACAATCCATGATGCTTTGACAACATCTGAATTACCGATAGAAACAACTCAAATACGCACTACGTTTCTGCCAACAACCTCATCTACAGTTCAAACAACATCTGTTTTGCAAACTTCTACTAGCACAAGCCATGATGGTGCAACAATAACTGAAATTTCAATAACAACTAAACAAACAAGTACACTTTTGCCACCAACAACAACCACATCAACGACTCAATCAACGACCGTTGTGGCATCAACATCTACAAATACAATTCCTATTACAATCACAACATCTGAAATCCCAATTACAACAACTGAACAAGGTACTACACTTTTTCCAAAAACAACATCTAATGTTCAAACAACATCTGTTTTGCCATCAACTTCTACAAGCACAATCAATGATGCAGTGACAACATCTGAATTACCAATAGAAACAACTCAAATACACACTACGATTTTGCCAACATCATCTATGGTTCAAACAACATCTGTTTTGCCTACTTCTACAAGCACAAGCCATGTTGCTGCAACAACATCTGAAATGCCAATTATAACAACTGAACAAAGCACTACACTTTTGCCAACAACCTCATCTACGGTTCAAACAACAAGTTTTTTGCCATCAACTTCTACAAGCACAATCCATGATGCTTTGACAACACCTGAATTACCAATAGAAGCAACTGAACAAGGCACTACACTTTTTCCAACAAAAACATCTAATGTTCAAACAACATCTATTTTGCCATCAACTTCTACAAGCACAATCAATGACGCTGTGACAACATCTGAAATGCCAAATTACAACAACTAAACAAAGCCCTACACTTTTGCCAACAACCTCAGCTAAAAAAACTACTGTTTTATTATTAACATCTATGAACGTATCCCCTTTTCCATTAGCATCTATAAGCACAAGCCCTAATGCAGCAGCAATAACTGACATGCCAACAACTCAAAAGAGTACTAAACTTTTGCCAACAACTTCATTTATAGCTCAAACAACAACTGTTGTGCCATCAACATCTACAAACTCAAGCCTTCTTGCTACCACAACAAATGAAGTTCCAACAACTACTCAACAAAACACTACACTTTTGCCAACAATCTCATCTACAGTTCTAACAACAACTTCTGTCCCATCAAGATCTCCAACACTTGAGATAAGTACATCTGAACAAGTTACAACCACCAGACGTACTGAAACTGAAATAACATCTAAAATGCCAATTACAACTACTGAACAAAGCACTATACTTTTGCCAACAACCTCATCAACAGTTCAAAAAACATCTGTTTTGCCAACTTCTACAAGCACAATAAATGACGCTGGGACAACATCTGAAATCCCAATTACAACAACTGAACCAAGCACTACGCTTTTGGCAACAACCTCATCTATGGTTAAAACAACATCTGTTTTGCCAACTTCTACTAGCACAAGCCATGATGATAGCCACAAGACAATAACTGAAATGCCAATTACAACAGAACAAACAAGTACACTTTTGCCACCAACAACAACCGCATCAACGACTCAATCAACGACCGTTGTGGCATCAACATCTACAAATACAATCCCTATTACAATCACAACATCTGAAATGCCAATTACAACAACTGAACAAAGCACTACACTTTTGCCAACAACCTCATCTATGCTTCAAACAACATCTGGTTTGCCATCAACTTCTACAAGCACAATCCATGATGCTTTGACAACATCTGAATTGCCAATAGAAACAACTCAAATACGCACTACGATTTTGCCAACATCATCAACTACGGTTCAAACAACATCTGTTTTGCCTACTTCTACAAGCACAAGCCATGTTGCTGCAACAACATCTGAAATGCCAATAACAACTAAACAAACAAGTACACTTTTGCCACCAACAACAACCACATCCACGACTCAATCAACGACCGTTGTGGCATCAACATCTACAAATACAATTCCTATTACAATCACAACATCTAAAATGCCAATTACAACTACTGAACAAAGCACTATACTTTTGCCAACAACCTCATCAACAGTTCAAACAACATCTGTTTTGCCAACTTCTACAAGCACAATAAATGACGCTGTGACAACATCTGAAATCCCAATTACAACAACTGAAGCAAGCACTACGCTTTTGGCAACAACCTCATCTATGGTTAAAACAACATCTGTTTTGCCAACTTCTACTAGCACAAGCCATGATGGCGCAACAATAACTGAAATGCCAATTACAACTGAACAAACAAGTACACTTTTGCCACCAACAACAACCGCATCAACAACTCAATCAACGACCGTTGTGGCATCAACATCTACAAATACAATCCCTATTACAATCACAACATCTGAAATCCCAATTACAACAACTGAACAAAGTACTACACTTTTTCCAAAAACAAAATCTAATGTTCAAACAACATCTGTTTTGCCATCAACTTCTACAAGCACAAGCCATGATGCTATGACAACATCTGAGATGCCAATTACAAAAACTGAACAAAGCACTACACTTTTGCCAACAACCTCATCTATGCTTCAAACAACATCTTTTTTGCCATCAACTTCTATGAGCACAGGCCATGATGGTGCAACAATAATTGAAATGCCAATAACAACTGAACGAACAAGTACACTTTTGCCTCCAACAACAACCACATCAACGACTCAATCAACGACTGTCGTAGCATCAACTACAAATACAATCCCTATTACAGTCACAACATTTGAAATGCAAATGACAACAACAGAACAAAGCACTACACTGTTGCCAACAAGCTCATCTACGGTTCAAACAACAAGTGTTTTGCCATCAACTTCCACCAGCACAATTAATGAAGCTGTGACAACATCTGAATTGCCAATAGCAACAACTCAAAAAAGCACTTTCCTTTTGCCATCAACCTCATCTGCAGTTCAAACAACATCTGTTTTCCCAGATTCTACAAGGACAATGAATGATGCTGTGACAACATCTGAAATGCCAATTACAACAACTAAACAAAGCATTACATTTTGCCAACGACCTCATCTATGGTTCAAACAACAAGTGTTTTGCCATCACCTTCCACAAGCACAATCCTTGATGCTGTGACAACATCTGAATTGCATATAGAAACAACTCAAATCCGCACTATGCTGTTGCCAACAACCTCATCTATGGTTCAAACTACATTTGGTTTGCCTACTTCTACAAGAACAAGTCATGATGCTGCAACAACATCTGAAATGCCAATTACAACAACTGAACAAAGCACTACACTTTTACCAACAACCTCCCCATGCTTCAAACAACATCTGGTTTGCCAACTTCTACAAGCACAATAAATGACGCTGTGACAACATCTAAAATCCCAATTACAACAACTGAACCAAGCACTACGCTTTTGGCAACAACCTCATCTATGGCTAAAACATCATCTGTTTTGCCAACTTCTACTAGCACAAGCCATGATGGCGCAACAATAACTGAAATGCCAATTACAACTGAACAAACAAGTACACTTTTGCCAACAACAACATCTAACGTTCACACAACTTCTATTTTGCCATTAACTTCTACAAGCACAATCCATGATGCTTTGACAACATCTGAATTGCCAATAGAAACAACTCAAATACGCACTACGATTTTGCCAACATCATCAACTACGGTTCAAACAACATCTGTTTTGTCTACTTCTACAAGCACAAACCATGTTGCTACAACAACATTTGAAATGCCAATTATAACAACTGAACAAAGCACTACACTTTTGCCAACAACCTCATCTGCAGTTCAAACAACATCTGTTTTGCCAACTTCTACAAGCACAATAAATGACGCTGTGACAACATCTGATATCCCAATTACAACTGGACTAAGCACTACGCTTTTGGCAACAACCTCATCTATGGTTAAAACAACATCTGTTTTGCCAACTTCTACTAGCACAAGCCATGATGGCGCAACAATAACTGAAATGCCAATTACAACTGAACAAACAAGTACACTTTTGCCACCAACAACAACCGCATCAACGACTCAATCAACGACCGTTGTGGCATTGACATCTACAAATAAAATCCCTATTACAATCACAACATCTGAAATCCCAATTACAACAACTGAACAAGGCACTACACTTTTTCCAAAAACAACATCTAATGTTCAAACAACATCTGTCTTGCCATCAACTTTTACAAGCACAAGCCATGATGCTTTGACAACATCTGAATTGCCAATAGAAACAACTCAAATACGCACTACGATTTTGCCAACATCATCAACTATGGTTCAAACAACATCTGTTTTGCCTACTTCTACAAGCACAAGCCATGTTGCTGCAACAACATCTGAAATGCCAATTATAACTGAACAAACAAGTACACTTTTGCCACCAACAACAACCACATCAACGACTCAATCAACGACTGTTTTGGCATCAACCTCTACAAATAAAATCCCTATTACAATCACAACATCTGTAATGTCAATGACAACAACTCAACAAGGCACTACACTTTTACCAACAACAACATCAAAGGTTCAGACAACATCTGTTTTGCCATCAGCTTCTACAAGCACAATCCATGATGCTTTGACAACATCTGAATTGCCAATACAAACAACTCAAATATGCACTACGATTTTGCCAACATCATCATCTATGGTTCAAACAACATCTGTTTTGCCTACTTCTACAGGCACAAGCCATGTTGCTGCAACAACATCTGAAATGCCAATTATAACAACTGAACAAAGCACTACACTTTTGCCATCAACCTCATCTATGCTTCAAACAACATCTGTTTTGCCTACTTCTACAAGCACAAGCCATGATGCTGTGACAACATCTGAACTGCCATTTACAACAACTGGACAAAGCACTACACTTTTTCCAACAACCTCTTCTATGGTTAGAACAACAAGTGTTTTGCCATCAACTTCCACCAGCACAAGCTATGATGCTATGACAACATATGAAATGCCAATTACAACAACTGAACAAAGCACTACACTTTTGCCAACAACGTCATCTACGGTTCAAACAACAAGTTTTTTGCCATCAACTTCTACAAGCACAATCCATGATGCTTTGACAACACCTGAATTACCAATAGAAACAACTCAAATACGCACTGCGCTTTTGCCAAAAACCTCATCTCTAGTTCAAACAACATCTGTTTTGCCAACTTCTACAAGCACAAGCCACGATGCTGTGACAACATCTGAATTGCCAATTACAACTACTGAACAAAGCACTACACTTTTGCCAACAACAACAACATCTAAGTTTCAAACAACTTCTGTTTTGCCATCGACTTCTACAAGCACAATCCATTATGCTGTGACAACACCTGAAATGCCAATAGACACAACTCCAATACGCACTACGCTTTTGCCAACAACCTCATCTATTGTTCAAACAATTTCAGTTTTGCCAGCTTCTACAAGTGCAAGCCATGATGCCTCAACAACATCTGAAATGTCAATTACAACAGCTACTAAACAAATCACTACACTTTTGCCAACATCATCCTCTACGGTTCAAAAAACATCTGTTTTGCCATCAACTTCTACAAGCACAAGCCATGATGCCTCAACAACATCTGAAATGCCAATTACAAAAGCTGAACAAAGCACTACACTTTTGCCAACAACCTCATCTATGGTTCAAACAACATCTTTTTTGCCATCAACTTCTATGAGCACAAGCCATGATGGTGCAACAATAATTGAAATGCCAATAACAACTGAACGAACAAGTACACTTTTGCCACCAACAACAACCACATCAACGACTCAATTAACGACTGTCGTAGCATCAACTACAAATACAATCACTATTACAGTCAAAACATCTGAAATGCCAATGACAACAACAGAACAAAGCACTTTGCTGTTGCCAACAACCTCATCTATGGTTCAAACAACATCTGGTTTGCCTACTTCTACAAGCACAAGCCATTATGCTGTGACAACATCTGAAATGCCAATTACAACAACTGAACAAAGCACTACGCTTTTGCCAACAAGCTCATCTATGGTTCAAACAACAAGTGTTTTGCCATCAACTTCCACCAGAACAATCAATGAAGCTGTGACAACATCTGAATTGCCAATAGCAACAACTCAAAAAAGCACTATCCTTTTGCCATCAACCTCAACTGCAGTTCAAACAACATCTGTTTTCCCAGATTCTACAAGCACAATGAATGATGCTGTGACAACATCTGAAATGCCAATTACAACAACTAAACAAAGCATTACACTTTTGCCAACGACCTCATCTATGGTTCAAACAACAAGTGTTTTGCCATCAACTTCCACCAGCACAAACCTTGATACTGTGACAACATCTGAAATGTCAATTACAACAAGTGAACAAAGCACTACACTTTTGCCAACAACCTCATCTACGGTTCAAACAACAAGTGTTTTGCCATCAACTTCCACCAGCACAATCAATGAAGCTGTGACAACATCTGAATTGCCAATAGCAAGAACTCAAAAAAGCACTATGCTTTTGCCAACAAACTCATCTACAATTCAAACAACATCTGGTTTGCCAACTGCTACAAGCACAATAAATGATGCTGTGACAACATCTGAAATCCCAATTACAACAACTGAACCAAGCACTACGCTTTTGGCAACAACCTCATCAACAGTTCAAACAACATCTGTTTTGCCAACTTCTACAAGCTCAATAAATTACGCTGTGACAACATCTGAAATGCCAATTACAACAACTGAACCAAGCACTACGCTTTTGGCAACAACCTCATCTACAGTTCAAACAACATCTGTTTTGCCAACTTCTACAAGCACAATCAATGATGCTGTGACAACATCTGAAATCCCAATTACAACAACTGAACAAAGCACTACGCTTTTGGCAACAACCTCATCTATGGTTAAAACAACATCTGTTTTGCCAACTTCTACTAGCACAAGCCATGATGGCGCAACAATAACTGAAATGCCAATTACAACTGAACAAACCAGTACACTTTTGCCATCAACAACAACCGCATCAACGACTCAATCAACGACCGTTGTGGCATCAACATCTACAAATACAATTCCTATTACAATCACAACATCTGAAATCCCAATTACAACAACTGAACAAGGTACTACACTTTTTCCAAAAACAACATCTAATGTTCAAACAACATCTGTTTTGCCATCAACTTCTACAAGCACAATCAATGATGCAGTGACAACATCTGAATTACCAATAGAAACAACTCAAATACACACTACGATTTTGCCAACATCATCTATGGTTCAAACAACATCTGTTTTGCCTACTTCTACAAGCACAAGCCATGTTGCTGCAACAACATCTGAAATGCCAATTATAACAACTGAACAAAGCACTACACTTTTGCCAACAACCTCATCTACGGTTCAAACAACAAGTTTTTTGCCATCAACTTCTACAAGCACAATCCATGATGCTTTGACAACACCTGAATTACCAATAGAAGCAACTGAACAAGGCACTACACTTTTTCCAACAAAAACATCTAATGTTCAAACAACATCTATTTTGCCATCAACTTCTACAAGCACAATCAATGACGCTGTGACAACATCTGAAATGCCAAATTACAACAACTAAACAAAGCCCTACACTTTTGCCAACAACCTCAGCTAAAAAAACTACTGTTTTATTATTAACATCTATGAACGTATCCCCTTTTCCATTAGCATCTATAAGCACAAGCCCTAATGCAGCAGCAATAACTGACATGCCAACAACTCAAAAGAGTACTAAACTTTTGCCAACAACTTCATTTATAGCTCAAACAACAACTGTTGTGCCATCAACATCTACAAACTCAAGCCTTCTTGCTACCACAACAAATGAAGTTCCAACAACTACTCAACAAAACACTACACTTTTGCCAACAATCTCATCTACAGTTCTAACAACAACTTCTGTCCCATCAAGATCTCCAACACTTGAGATAAGTACATCTGAACAAGTTACAACCACCAGACGTACTGAAACTGAAATAACAAAGCATTTAATAAGCACAAGCCCTTATGCAGACAAAACAACTGAGAAGCCAACAGTAACTCAAAGCAATATGTCTTTAAAAGTCTCAGATACCATTCCAACAACACCTACTGAACTATCAGCATCAATGAGTCCTTATACATTCAATTTAACTCAACCACTTACTGCCACTAGACTTACCAATACAACAACTGTACCTGCAATGCAATCAACATATATAAGTAACTCTTCAAAAACTGAAATGTCAACAAGAACTCAGCAACACACAGATATTTCTGTAAAACCGTCAAGTATCAGTCCAACAAAGACAGCCCTTAAAACAACCAAGGCACATGCAACAAGTGCAGTTTTGAAAACTGCAAAATCAACAATGAGTACTCCAAAAACAACAACTAGATTCCTAACAACAACAACTGCTAAACCAAACTATGTGAATTTGACCACAAAGTCAATAGAAACCCCAACAAAAACCACCCTAGCATCTCTAGATCCTGCGACGGAGAAAGAAGGATTCCTTTATCTAAAATTTAGAATAGTGAGGACTTTTGTTCCAGATTACAACGATAAAGCTTCTTCTGCTTATAAAGCACTGGAAAGAAATGTAACAACTGAGGTAAATCACTAACTTTTCAGCAAACATTTTATATTAAAGTGCCCCTATTATGCTATTTTAAAGTTTCCTAATGTTGTTTTGGAGTCTCCTACAACAGGTTTACATGCGTCAAAGGTCGAAAAACTGTTTAATTTCCTCATAATATACATTTGCACATAACCACATTTTCAATGATTCTCAAACGACTCGTCAGATGAATCAATCTCTCTAAATCCCTCCTTTCCGCGAGCTACTCTGCTCTGATTGGCTAGACAGCTCAGTCTGTTGTACAGCGCGCGCGTCGAAAACAAAAACGGCCATTGCCATAACAACGTCAGCTCTGCGTGTCCTGAGGCTTCCTACGCAGTAAACTAAACAGAAACGGACAATGACGTCGATTTTACCATATCAATCCAAGCACGGGTCTGATGATGAAACATTGGAAGAGCTAGTCATTCAACCAAAACCTCCATCGCAAGGACAACTCGAGCAGGACGTTTCTCAGTGATACGCACGCTACTTAGTTTGAGGTACATTATGAGATGTTGCAACTGTAATTCCTCACCATCAGCATTAACAAGTGCATCTCCATCAACCAGCCGATTAATTTACTTGTACTAATTTATTTACAGAGTATTTTTCTAATATATTGCGGTGAACACGTGGAAACTGTATCAATAACAGTGCATGTATGCAATGTAGGCTATACATTAGCGGAGCTCTAGCGTGAATGACTGATGTAACATAAACGTTGGTAAAACAAATCTTGCTCCATGCTTAATCTTTCCTCAAAGTAACGTTAGTGAGAACGACAAACAATCTGCATTAATAGACACAGTTTTAAGTAATAGTGGCCCACAACTGATTAGCAGAATTATTTCAGTAAGTAACGTGAGTTAGCCAGTTAGCAGGAGACCTACAGTACACAATATAAAAGTATTTTGAACACCATCTTTCAAGAGCAAGCGGTTTGCGAATCCTGCGTTGAACTCTGAGATTTGAGAAGCAGTCGTCAGTAAAATAAAGGGAACACAGCAAAAGTTTAGGATTATACTGCTGTGATATTGTAGTAAAGATGAATTTTTAACCACTGATTCTTCACATACTCGTCCTGTGGCAGTGGAAAAAAACTAGCTTTACCTTCACATTGTAGACCACAGCATCTTCTCGACATGATGCTCTCCAGTATCCAGAGAAATCAGCTGCAGTGTTTGAGGTTCAAGTTTTCCCTGGTGTCTGCGTGCGCAATAAGTGGACGGGAAATATGCTAATGTTTCGTCCTGACGTCACAACGAAACGGCTTATGACTCGTTTGAAAAACTATTCATTTAATTTACTCAGAGTCGACTCTTACTTTTGAAAGACAATAACTTTATATACGGTGCACTTTCAGATTTAAACCTTTGCAGGATGCTTAGAGCCATGTTACTCACTACATGAAAGGTCACTTTCAAAAATCCATGATAGGGGCCCTTTAAAATCCCAATGCAAATAAAATGTATAAACGTTTTATCCTTTAATCATTATATCAAGACAAATAATCTGCATTGTTCTTTGTTATTTTCTTTTCCAGCTTAATCGGGGATACACAATAAAATACCCATATACATTTCTGAGATCGGTTGTCATAATTTTTTGGTAAGTTATATTAACTCTCACTTTTTTTAAATATCAATGGCATGAACTCGTTGTATCTTCCTATAGCTATTATTTTTAAACAATTTACTTTATGCCTTCAGGGTGAAGTATGTAATATTTTTTATGTTGAAATACATTCTCTTAACTCTGTTTATTGCCGATTGACAACTATTAAAGGGTTCCTATTATGCTTTTTTGCTTTTTCAACTTTAGTTAGTGTGTAATGTTGCTGTTTGAGCATAAAAAAGATTTCCAAGATTACAAAGCTCAAATTCCACTCCAAATGGAGATATTTTATTTAACAAAATCCACTTCCCAAGAACTACAACGAAAGGCACGTTTGGACTCCAACGCAATTTTTCTGGGATTTATGATCCCCACCAACGGAATACGCATAAAAGCGGACGAGGCCTGGATGACCTGTTGCTATGTCAAAGAGATGCTGTTTTTTCCACAACTCATTTGTTTGACCTTCCTAAGGCTTACGAACTTAGAATGCGTAAAATTTATTTTAAACACTGTTCCTGAACATTATAATCCCGATGTTTATCTGTGCGCTGCACATTTTACGAAGAACAGCTTCCCGAACCACAACGCAGAAAAGCACGACACAAAAGCTTCTCCTGGAATGGAACTATTCACCGCCCTTTAGGAAAATTAACCATGAGAGAGGAGCTGTAATAATGTTTAAAAAAAAAGGGGGAAAATAAAATTGAACAATCAAGCATGAAAGCATATTTTAGTACACCCCAAATACAAAATCAAGACTTCTTAAATAAGCATAATATCACCCCTTTAATATGCCATTTTTGGGTTTATCTCCCCAAACATTGAGAAGGGACCACTCAAATCTATCAATATACAGTATTTCCAGCTCTAACTATAGTGAGAGTTTGGGGCCAGAGGATGTTTACCAGTGTGGGACCATGACTGATGTGTTACATGAGAAAAGAAATTCAGCTTTGGTTACAGAATTCACCAAAATTCGCGAACAGGGCATTGCAATGCAACACACTACAATGCACGCAATTGATTTTACTACTGTTGTCATATTCATTCTATTTTTTATATATATATATATAAATATATATATATACATATACAAATTAAAGAAAACACTTTTTTATCATTAGGCCTGGCTCAGTGGGGGTAACATCTCAGCTATTTTTTCAAAATCAGAGTGCGGTTCCCAACATAACAGATACAGTGGATTCCCTAAAACAAGGGCTTAATGAATCCATCATCTTATTGAATGTCATCACATCCAGTATTTCTGCTGGTGAGTGTCACAATCTGTTTTTGTTTTATCTTTAATCTTAAGGAAAGTTTTCTAAGGATAATTATAAGAAAGTGTAATATTTTCTTTCTAAATGTACTTATGAATAACAAACGCTTGTTTAAAAATGAAATGCAATCAAATTGATCATTATACATGAACTGTCTTTTTAATAATTTGGTCAAAACCTTCCTAACATAGATTCACGAAATTTCACCACATCAACCATTGCTCCGAACATCCCAACAGAAGCAACAACGATGGTAAGCAGTCAGTTTGCTACAACTATATCATCTGACAGTGCAGTGCCAAGGAGCAGACTCACTGAAGTGGTCACTTTACTTCTTTTCATCCTCATTAAAACCTTTTTGATAGAACTGTAATATCTTTCTTTAATTTTATAGTTAATTAATTTTTGTAAAATTGTAATGACTAACTGAATATTTTTACAAATGTACACATCATTAAAATTCTGTATGAAGTTATTTAAAATGTAATCTATATAGAGTAATAATATAGTTGAATGACTAAATTCAACAATAAATTAAATGTACTATATGTATTCATGTAAAATGTTTAAAGTTATATGTATTCTTTTCAATTCACTTGTGAGTTTACTGATAATGATGTCCAAAATAAAGTATAGTAACAGTAAAATATTAATATTGCAAACAGAAGCAATTATGTTACATAACATTTTTGTATTTTTTATGTTAACAATTTCCAGTGCTGTAATATCAATAGTTTATTTATCTATTTTTCTTTTATGTTAATACTATATACTGTTAAGACAATTATACAAATAATTAAACATTCTTTAAACAATCAAGTCTGTTTTTATTACATTTTCAAGTGATTGCAATTTAAGATGACTAGGGTTTAATAATTCAAGTAGCCTAAAGATTATAAAAAAATATATAAGCATTTTACAATTTAATCATTTAAAACTATAATGTGAGAAACAGTTTTTACTAAAACCGTCATATCCCTTGGAAGTGTTAAGTTATTCTTCATAGTCTGTACAGGCTTTTTTTTAGATGTTTTTAAAAGAAATATTTATTTTAAAAACTCTCATTTTAAAAAGAAAATTCTCACTGCGATCGAACTATCCCGTTAAGGTTTTAATCCGTGGTTACAAATAAAGAGCCCCTGACAGTTAGGCTACTTGATTCACAAATCTTACATCATCCAGTGGCATCATACAGTAGGCTATCTTCACTGATCATACCTTTTGGTTACACATTGACATTTTACATGCATTATGTAGGTAATGTAAAAGTGTAGAGTATTTCCTAATGTGCTGACTGTAGCATACGACAATATTGACATATGATACAAACTGATTTGGTTTATATTTGTTATTGCGCTCGCTTACGCACTTTTGTGGGCATAGGAGACAATACAGTAGGCTACTATTTTCCTGTAACATTAAGTATTGCCTTTAGAATTCGAACATAATTCAAATTATGCTAATATTTAAGACCTAATTCACAACCACTGGAGTTGCTATATTCAACAAGCTGAGAAACTTTATCAACAGGGTTGGGGAATTCTGCAGACACAATAACAGGAAAAACCATATATTTCTGCCAACTGCAGGTAGTTACGGTATGTAGGTTGTGCAACTAAATCCGGTAAGTTAACAAATCTGTCGCTCCGTGAACTCTACGACCAAAGCTTACCTCAGGTAACTTTACTAGTCGACTTCAGATTTGATGTCGATGCACGTGCCTTTGTAGAGAGGCAGACAGTGGGGCGTGTAAACACAGATTAAGGACCTTTTAAATAAAGCTAAAAAAGGATTCAGATTTAGAAAACCTTTAGAACGTGTTCTTTTGTTTTAAAACTGGAGACGCAGCGGAATGGCAGACTGAACTGCCTGCTCGACCAAACGGTTGAGCACATTTTGAGTCACTTTATTTTATTGAGAGAATCAGTAGCCTACCTAGTTTAACTCAAACTGATTGAGCCATCTCTACCATCTGTTTGAGATATGTTATGCCAAAAAAAATCCACTAGATGTCACAGTGTCAATCAACAGCACTTCTTCTAACAAGTCAGAAACAAATAAATCATCCTGCCATGTGAACTGTTTTGGTGAAATTTTGCAAGGTAAGCTTTTTTTTTTCTTTTTTGACATATTACACTGTAAGAGCCCTAACTTTACAAAATTATGTTACCTGGTGCCATGAAAAAACTTTAGTAGCCTATGTTTTTAATATTTTTTCCAAAACATTGATTTGGCACATAATGGTTAACTGTCACCTCCCTTTTTGAGAATGGACATTGCAATGCACTATTAAAACTTGGTTGTAATTCAAGAATGCTTTAGAATATAGACCTAAGTTTGGTCTTGTTTTAAAGAAAACACTCAGCAGATTATTGCTGAAGTAAAAGAAAATTCAAAAAATGAAAGTATGAAAAAGTTATGGACGTTTTAAATTTACAGTAAATCAAATATACTATACTTAATATTTTTTCTTTTATATAAAATATATATTTTACAAAATATTTTTTACTATAAAATCAAAGCCATATATCTAACCAAGTTGATATCACAAAAATTGAAGTTCCCATGAGATTTTGTTTAGGTCTAATACCAAAAATAGCCCCCGGGTGACACATTCCATTGAATTGAATGTAGTTGTATGCATTCTGTCGTAACAAATTAATAAATTTCTGTCCAAATATCACTTCTGTCACAAAATATGGAACCTTGAGACCTTTCTGACAATATGTGTTTTGTCAAGATTAGAAAAGGTTTTGATCATAAGGTTTTGGGCAAAGAAAAGAAAAATCCTGTTGCTCTTTATACCACACTTGACGGCGTGTTTCTTGAAACATAAAAGCCTAAAATGCCATTATATCCTCCTGAGACCCAGAAAAAAAAAGTTTTTTGAATTTAGTTTTTTTCCATGTCATCACACTGTTTAGAGCACAATAAACAAATAGGGAAAAAAAACAAATATATAAAATAATATTTTATTCATACGTTATGCTATGTCCTCTGTAGTGGACGCCAGGACTAAGTTGTTTAAAAAATAAAATGACATGAAATTATATGTATAGGCAAAAACAATGGGATTTTTTTTTCAATCACCAATACATTTTGGGGTTTCAGGATTTTTTCAACCAAAATTTGTATAAAGATTAGTCTCAACTATGTTATGAAAGAAATAATGGAATGAATTGATACACCATTTTACTTTTTGCAATATGTGGGTAAAATGGCCATAAGTTAATATTCCCATTCAATGCAATGTATCTATACACTGTATCTACACTCTAAACAAAAATGGTGCTAAATAGCACTAAAAGTGGTTCATTGGCTTGTAATCATAGGGAACCACTTTAAGTGCCATATAGCACTTATCTTTGTCAAATGGTGCTATGTAGAACCTTGAGAGGTGCCATAGAGCACCTTAACCACCGCAAAGAACCCCTGAAGAACCGCTGAAGAACCATTGTTTTTTAGAGTGTAATTTGCACATTAATGTGTGCTGGGAGCAACATTTAATGAAAGAATAAAGGGTAATAATTGGAGTAATAATTGGCAACATTTTAATAATAATATCTAATATTTCATAGGAATATTGATGTATAATTTATTTCCATATTCACTTGTTGTGTCTCCCAGAATGCCTGATAAACATGATTTTAGTCC